AGCTCCCACAACGCCAAGGCCTCATCTCACACTCATACTCACTCATAGGAACAGCGATTGTGATGCTCTGCATTAACATCCTGCAGTAACTCCCACAACGCCAAGGCCTCATCTCACACTCATACTCACTCACAGGAACAGCGATTGTGATGCTCTGCATTAACATCCTGCAGTAACTCCCACAACGCCAAGGCCTCATCTCACACTCATACTCACTCATAGGAACAGCGATTGTGATGCTCTGCATTAACATCCTGCAGTAACTCCCACAACGCCAAGGCCTCATCTCACACTCATACTCACTCACAGGAACAGCGATAGTGATGCTCTGCATTAACATCCTGCAGTAACTCCCACAACGCCAAGGCCTCATCTCACACTCATACTCACTCACAGGAACAGCGATTGTGATGCTCTGCATTAACATCCTGCAGTAACTCCCACAACGCCAAGGCCTCATCTCACACTCATACTCACTCATAGGAACAGCGATTGTGATGCTCTGCATTAACATCCTGCAGTAACTCCCACAACGCCAAGGCCTCATCTCACACTCATACTCACTCACAGGAACAGCGATTGTGATGCTCTGCATTAACATCCTGCAGTAACTCCCACAACGCCAAGGCCTCATCTCACACTCATACTCACTCATAGGAACAGCGATTGTGATGCTCTGCATTAACATCCTGCAGTAACTCCCACAACGCCAAGGCCTCATCTCACACTCATACTCACTCATAGGAACAGCGATTGTGATGCTCTGCATTAACATCCTGCAGTAACTCCCACAACGCTAAGGCCTCATCTCACACTCATACTCACTCATAGGAACAGCGATAGTGATGCTCTGCATTAACATCCTGCAGTAACTCCCACAAAGCCAAGGCCTCATCTCACACTCATACTCACTCACAGTAACAGCGATTGTGATGCTCTGCATTAACATCCTGCAGTAACTCCCACAACGCCAAGGCCTCATCTCACACTCATACTCACTCATAGGAACAGCGATTGTGATGCTCTGCATTAACATCCTGCAGTAACTCCCACAACGCCAAGGCCTCATCTCACACTCATACTCACCCATAGGAACAGCAATTGTGATGCTCTGCATTAACATCCTGCAGTAACTCCCACAACGCCAAGGCCTCATCTCACACTCATACTCACTCACAGTAACAGCGATTGTGATGCTCTGCATTAACATCCTGCAGTAGCTCCCACAACGCCAAGGCCTCATCTCACACTCATACTCACTCATAGGAACAGCGATTGTTATGCTCTGCATTAACATCCTGCAGTAACTCCCACAATGCCAAGGCCTCATCTCACACTCATACTCACCCATAGGAACAGCAATTGTGATGCTCTGCATTAACATCCTGCAGTAACTCCCACAACGCCAAGGCCTCATCTCACACTCATACTCACTCATAGGAACAGCGATAGTGATGCTCTGCATTAACATCCTGCAGTAACTCCCACAACGCCAAGGCCTCATCTCACACTCATACTCACTCACAGTAACAGCGATTGTGATGCTCTGCATTAACATCCTGCAGTAACTCCCACAACGCCAAGGCCTCATCTCACACTCATACTCACTCATAGGAACAGCGATTGTGATGCTCTGCATTAACATCCTGCAGTAACTCCCACAATGTTAAGGCCTCATCTCACACTCATACTCACTCATAGGAACAGCGATAGTGATGCTCTGCATTAACATCCTGCAGTAACTCCCACAAAGCCAAGGCCTCATCTCACACTCATACTCACTCACAGTAACAGCGATTGTGATGCTCTGCATTAACATCCTGCAGTAACTCCCACAACGCCAAGGCCTCATCTCACACTCATACTCACTCATAGGAACAGCGATTGTGATGCTCTGCATTAACATCCTGCAGTAACTCCCACAACGCCAAGGCCTCATCTCACACTCATACTCACCCATAGGAACAGCAATTGTGATGCTCTGCATTAACATCCTGCAGTAACTCCCACAACGCCAAGGCCTCATCTCACACTCATACTCACTCACAGTAACAGCGATTGTGATGCTCTGCATTAACATCCTGCAGTAGCTCCCACAACGCCAAGGCCTCATCTCACACTCATACTCACTCATAGGAACAGGGATTGTTATGCACTGCATTAACATCCTGCAGTAACTCCCACAATGCCAAGGCCTCATCTCACACTCATACTCACCCATAGGAACAGCAATTGTGATGCTCTGCATTAACATCCTGCAGTAGCTCCCACAACGCCAAGGCCTCATCTCACACTCATACTTACTCATAGGAACAGCGATAGTGATGCTCTGCATTAACATCCTGCAGTAGCTCCCACAACGCCAAGGTCTCATCTCACACTCATACTCACTCATAGGAACAGCGATTGTGATGCTCTGCATTAACATCCTGCAGTAACTCCCACAACGCTAAGGTACTGACTGTAGCTTGGAAGATCCTTCACCTCATTTATTGTTCTATTGCTGCCGGATTATGATCTATTACTGTAGAATTGTTACCAGTTATACCTGTAGTTTGCCACTGTCATTTCTATGCATGCAGTTATTATGGTCATTTAATGTTTCTGACCAATATTTCATGTTCACAGATATTAATATTTTGGTTGAAAGAATTTGGTTGCTAAACTTTCCAACACATTGCTACTCTACCCCTCTTTGTATAAAAGAGCTGCAATGGCTGGATCTCAGCTTACGGGAAGGACTCTCTCTACCTCTTGTATTTGTCTGTGTATATTGTACGTCCTCCACTAATTGTACAGCGCTGCGGAATCTGTTGGTGCTTTATAAATACCAGTAATACATAAATAAATTATGAAATAAATATTATTGGGTCTTCCGGTCAATGCTCCTTGCCTCCACTACTTCAGACAGAGATCAGGAAGCTCTCTATTTGAGCTAAGCCCAGCAGTGCATGGCTTAACTCATTGGCTGAGCATGATCAGCTGATGCTCTCAGCCAGTTGAGTTAGCCCTGCAGTACATGGCTTTGCTCAGATGGAGGCTCATACTTAGGATCTCTCCATCGTTAGTAGTGTGGTGAGGATCGGCACCTGGAGGACCGAAGTAATAAGTCAAACCATTCTAAATCAGTTTGACTACTTACAATGGGGTGTGGGAGTACAGGGTACTAGCATCATAATCATTGTAGTGCGTTACAGTGAGTGTTACTTTAAATAGGTATGGATAAATAAAGACTGCATTACCCTCTTTAATATCTTATAAGAGACCAAATCTGATGGTACTCTGAAACATGTTGTATCATTCACTTAATGAGTTTACGATTAGCCACAGACCATTTAAAGGAAAATGGTCATTTTTCACAAACATGAAAGAATACATGTAAGATAACGGATGTCGCTGTGTGTATTATTTGTTAAAATGTACATATAAATGAATATCTTTTTAGTGTTTTTTTCTGCCTTAGTGCATACGGACAGCCATCTTTAAGTATTTATTGGTCAGAAACATAGCTAATCTCACAGGTAACCAAGAGCTAGTGGCATTCACAAATCCTCACAAATCCCGACATCATGTGATGCCAGTTTCGGCTATTCACTTTTAATGGTCTTCAGTCACATAAGGGAGACTTTTGATCCAAAATGGCCTAAACGTGGCTGCCTCCTTGAAGCAAGAATAGCCAGGAAATGCATTAAATCAGGCATTTACTTATATGTTTACTATGCAAACTAATACACAGATCCTCTATTGCTGCTTATTTTATTTAACAATAAAAAGACATAGCTCATTGAAGCTCTAGCTAGGGAATCTTTAGACATTAACTGAATTCATATCTGCAAATTACAAATGGATCCAAAGAGACTAGAATAAAAATATATAAATGGTGGGGCGAGGGGGGGGACGATGACGACGACTCTGTCAAACAGTTTGCTATTGCAATACGAAGCTTTCATTGACAGTTCTGCTAATATCATACTATCAATTCAATGAATCCCTCTAGATATAGTTATTAATGTTTCTTCTATACCTTTCTTCCCATGAGCCACCCAGTCTTCAGTTATTTTTGTTTCGGTTGTTTTTTTGTTAAAATATTCTAAATAATGAATGTACACAACTCACATATAAAAGAACTGTGGAACACTAATCAAAATTTGTCGAATTACATTCCGCAACACATTGTTCCACAGTGACAAATATCTCAATTCACCTCCATCTAACTTAGCTAAATATTTTCTCTTCTAATTGTTGGATTATAAACCCTACAAGACAGATCTTTATAGCAACTGTATTATTACAGTGTTATAGCATTATTATAGCATTAATATACGGTTATTATGATGTCAAGTGCATAAAGCTGAATAAACATGTTGGCACTTAATACATAAATAGGCAAAACGGCAAAATTCCAGTATTTGAAACATGTAGTCAATTTCCAGAACAGTTTCTTCATAGAGAACGAATAATTTTACATTTTCAAGTTGGACATTTGCTGTGTTGCAAGTTCAAGAATATTGATATTAAATTAACTAGGAAACAAATTGCATTAATTATTGAGTACTGTGATAACTGACTTTATCTAAATCACACCACGAATTGATAAGATATTCAGAAATTAATTTAAATTAAAATACTACGGTAGAAAACCAGCACTTGTAGAGGACAATAAATAGCCCTCAGTTCTCTTTCTCATGAAAAACAAATAGTAAATATACAACTAGCCAACCTAAATGACCATATTTTGGCCTTGATTTAACATTTTTGGAAAAGCTTTTCAAATGATTTATTAATTTTGGATAAAATTTTAAAATTATTTAATATTTTGAAAACATTTTTAATATTTTGATTTTTTTTAATATGTTGATATATTTTTATATATGATATCTTTTAGATTTTTGTTAATATTTTGAAGAAATTAAATGAATTTAAAAAAAAAAAAATTAATTAATCATAGGAAAAGTTTATCCAAAAATATCGATTGAAGCCTTTATGTGTAATGGACTCCAGTTTATTAATATACTTGTGAACAATAAAAGTTGGGCACAATTATGATGAAATGTCAGTGGCATGCCAAGGTAGAAAAAAAGGAGTACCAGCCTTTAATGAAGAGCGTATTACCTTTTACCCACTCTCAGACCAAATTCTCATCAATGCAACTCAAGCTTTGCCCTTTTCCTGGTTTTAAATTGGTTACTTTTTTCCTATTCAAAAAGTGTCAAAAGAGGAAGCTGGACTATTTTTACAGCCAGATTTTTATATAATTTGGTTAACCCTGGGAAGTATGTAGTACCAACAAAAGTTGTAAGAACTTGAAATCTGGTACTTTTCCATCAATCACCAGAATTCCCATAAGTACATCTAAAATTCACAAATCATGCAAAAACAAAGAAAATCTGAAAAATAAATGTACATTTTTAACATTTTATCAGTAAACATTAGACGCCACATTGAAAAAACAGCTATGTATACAAAACCGGGGAAAAATAAATACCTGCATTCACACATACATTACACACAGATAGCACTTTGTATTCACACGCTTGCAATCCCCTAAATGCATCCTTACACTGACACAGAGCAACACTAAACACAAATATACACACATTCATACTCAGTTGGTGTCGTGTGGTTTTACCTGTTTTTTGTATGATTTTTATCATAGTTAATTGGGAAGTGACGGGTTTCTTAAATAAATGTATATCCCTCCCAAGATTTTTGGTTCCTACCAAATGTTACAGAGATATTTTTGGAATGTTGTGTTTTCTAGAAATGCCATCAGGGTTCATACAAGTGCACATCTGCAACAAATACAATACATAGTGATCATTCACTACTGTCTGAATGTTGTCAAAATAAACCAAATTCAATTATGACCACATTTTAAACAAATTTGTAATTCACACTTTTGCTAAAGGTCAGTATGATCACTTAATATAGTACCATTCAAAATAGATTTAAAACTAGTAATTATTACATGCAAATTCCCTATGAAATGTAGGATTTGCATATTTATCAAACACGGATAACTGACATTTTCAACCAAACTCACTCTGAACAAATCTGGTAGAAGGCAACTTTATTAAATACATTTTTGCTTTCTGCCTTTTGCAAGCAAAGCCACAGAAAGTAGCACTATTTGCCATCTTTGAATAACCTAATTACTTATATCTTAAATATTGGGTTGGGGTAGTTTGGAACCGCTAGCTATCAAAATGTTGCTCATAACAGTTTGATGATTTGTTTTTTTGTTGTTTTTTTTTTAATTATAATTGCAATTAAAACTTTAAGCTGTCTGTCTGGTCCAACCAAATCATGGAGATGTAGACCCAAAATTGCAGGCAGCTGACAACTATGGCTAATTATTACAGCATTTGAACAACTGAATGCATATTTCTATAATTAAGCTGTGGATTTCGGTAGTTGGGTTCCATCCGGAGAGGCTGAATCCCAATCTATGTTCATTCTAATTCCGAGGCAGTATTGCAAAATCCAACATTGATCATTTTTAAGAATAAGGTTGTTTTTGTAGTTTGAATGCCTCTGGAGGGTACCGGATTATTTTTGATAATCCAGACTGGAAAGTTTAGTAAATAAACCTCATCCTGTAAGGGACAAAAACATTGCTTCTATACCAACATCTTGGAATGTTGAAAGACAAGGGATATCTATGTAGACTGTAAACATTTTACCATCCATGATTTCTGCAAAGAGCAAGTAACATATAAACTAAAATGATATACAATGTAATGCTTATATTTAAATTTGAGTAAATTACATAATTTCATTTTTAGGATTCCTTATTCTTTACTCTACATACCACAAAATACTGGTTTACCCTATTATTATTATTATTATTATTATTATTATTGCAATTTATATAGCGCCAACAGATTCCGTAGCGCTTTACAATATTATAAGAGGGGGGATTTGACTATAAGTAGGACAATTACAATTAAACTCAAAGAAATGAAAGGTTGAAGTGGGCCCTGCTCAAACGAGCTTACAGTCAAAAGGACGTGGGGTATAAAACACATTAGGACAGTTATTTATAATATTTTTAAACAAAATATTATGGTAATAAAAAAAAAAAACACTGGAATAAGGAGGTTGTTGTGAAGATCTGTATGCTGACAATAAGTAAGTAATGTCTTCCATTCGGTCTTTGGAATAATGGATATTTACCAAGACCAGGCATTTTGGCCAGCCCAGGGTGCTTGGGTGTGACCTCTTGTAGGAGATGTGTCATATAGTTGTACATGTGCAGTTAAGGTGACATGAAACAGCTGATAAGCCCACATGAAAAGGACATTATTTATTCCAGCGGTGCATGCGCAAATAGCCGAAAACAATTATTTAATTATTTATTTTTCTATTGTCACACCACAAAAGTTTCTATAGTACCATCAATACATATTCAGTTCAGCCAGCGACAGCAAACGCCTTATCATTGGCACAAACTAGGTTACATGGCACCTAATCATATTGTTGGATTTGCTTAGACTCTGTGACATGGTTTGACCTATTGATATTAATCAGGCAAAAGCTTGATATGAATGTATGAATTTAGCTGTGACAAGTACAGATAATTCAGATAAAATGTTTGTGTTTGTTTTTTTATGAAATCTTTAATGCTGGTTCATTTAACACAAACATTTAAATTTACAAAAGGCAAAGGGCACATTGTCAGTCATGTAACTGGACTAATCCCTCTTTTCCTGCTGATTTTTCCATTTTTATTACGGCGGGTCAAAGTTTCTCTATTTGGTTAACAATGGCTTAAAAATCATCTGTTCCATGTTTCTTTACATAAGTACCTTAACGCACGGGTACATCCTGAACAACTTTATCTTTTACAAATTGTAGCTCCAGCGTGGCATTTATTTTCATAACTCAGTCCAAATTTCTACTTTATTTCATAATGTTTTATTTATTTATTTTCAAAGCCTCCGGAGCTTTGGCATTTAACTGATTACAAGTGTCATCCCCATGTTACCTTTTGTAAGAGGACTTTTGTAAGACTCACGTTCTTAGGTTTTGTAAACCACAAATAGTTCAAATAACGCAAAATAGTATATCGTCTATATATCATCAGAGGTCAAAACAACAATCACATATTAATCTTTAATATCTTACAGTGGCACAGAGAAAAAAATAATAAATGCATGATTCTCTATTCTAGAAATATACTCACCAAGTTCAAACAACAGTTATTGGCTGAAAATATTTTAACAAATAACTTAGAACTTAGAATTTTTAAGGCATCAACTGATAGCTTATGTGCAACAGATAAATTATAAATAAAGAATGCTCATCTTAAGCTAATAAAAAAAAACTAGGTCTCAGGAAACCATCTCTAGGTTTCTAATAAAGTGCTTTGTATCAGTCATGCTAATTAAAGATAAGAAATAAGATTGAGCCTTTCTGCAGGGCTAAGCTATTTTGCCGAGCTCTGCAAGATAGCTCTTTTAAAATATTGTAAGCATTTTTTTTTATTTTTTTTTTTGACGGGGAAGATCTATTGTTTTTAACTGTTGGAACATGCTGTTAAAGCACAATTTGCAAAGGACTTTTCAAATACTCCCACAAAATGTATTGAGGTGGGATAAAGAACATTTTTACTCTTGAATTATACAAAACAAATCCAGCCAACTAATACCAAGACTTGAAGTCATTCTGTTTAGAATCTCCATTGAATAATAATTCTGATTTATCAGATTGTGTATAATCAACCCAGAATTTCAATTACAGCTATTTAGCATCGAGCATCTAGCTGTTGAATGAAGTCTGCATATCAATGTGCTAAATAGACGTCCTTTTCAAAACATTTAAATCCATGATTGCCTTGTAGCCAAAATATTTCCCATAATTGAATTATGAATAAATCTTGCAGGCAGCTTTAATTGGGTAACATTAGATTTATATATTTATTGTCTTATTTAATCCAAATATACTTAAACACACAAAATATTTTCTTAGAAATCTCATCATAGTTCAGTGAGAAGACCACAAACTTTTTTAGAATAATCCATATTCAACCATGAGAAGCCAAAAGACATTAATCCATCGATGACAGAAAAAAAAATGATCTTCAGATAAAAGAAGGTGGAAGGCTGTCTATTGTCCACGCCAAGGATGATTGTCACAGAATTCACAGAGGGAATACCAGAAAACCAGAAAAAGTGGAGTACTGCCAACCTCCAACCAGGTTACCTTTCTCCAGTTTTAGGTAGACCTTGTCCTCTTTTTCTAGATGGAGCAAAACACCATTGGTAGCTGCTTCACGGGTTACGTCTTTATCCCCAGCAAAGGCCGAAATGACTGGTCTTCCATTAAGCATCAAATTTACCTACAGAGGAAAAATCACTCATGTTACTTTTTTTCCTTTAAATTGACCCATGATTAATATTTGTTAAGCAAAATGCACAGTTAAACAAAAGTACCACCATGTTAGCAAGGATTCCATATTTTAACATTGTCTATCATGATACTATATCTCACTGTCTACCATGTGATTAAAGATGGAACATATAGTTGTCAAGCTTAAGACTTTTATAGAAAATTTTCTAAATTAATTTATCCCCTAGAGAAAACTGTATAATGCAACAGACTGACAGTCAAGAAAAAAATAGAGAATTTTCAAATAAAAATATTTTCACTTAACTAGAAAATGGGTCATACACTGTAATAAAGGGTAAAGAATATGCAGAAAATTTTAACAAAGGCCAAGGACAACATTTGGAATTTGGGATGTTTGACAAGGTAATTGCATTTTCTAAGTTGCCAAATCAAAATGGAAACATTTCGATGATAAGATATTTTTCCAGTTTGACCTACATTTTTTAATTCCCCTGTTAATTCTCTACAATTCTTCGCTTGGAAAATAAACTACAAAATGTCACCTAAAGTAAATTTAAGATGGCCTTCAGCAGGCCCTGCAGGCCATCAAGCAGTCCAAAGAAATGTCCAGTGGGCAGAGATGGCCATTGGCCGAGGCCATCGGAGGAGATCAAGGGAACCACCTGGCCGGCCCCTACTGGGCTGGCGCTTGAGAAGTGCGGGTCCAAAGAGCAGTATCCACAGCTACCCATACACTACAGCCAAAATTTCCCTCACATAAACTACAGTTCCTAACACTCACAGAAATACACACTGCAATCCCACTCTACATACAGTACACCACTTACCACCCTCTCCACACACACTATTATTATTATTATTATTATTATGATATTTATAGAGCGCCGTCAAATTCCACAGCGCTTTACAATGGGTGGACAAACAGACATGTAGTTGTAACCAGACAAGTTGGACACACAGGAACAGAGGGGTTGAGGACCCTGCTCAATTAGCTTACATGCTAGAGGGAGTGGGGTAAAATGACACAAAAAGGTAAGGATAGTATTAGACTAGTGACAGTTGCAGAAGAGGAATCAGTCAGGAGCTATTAACAGTTTAATTGAAACGCTTTTATGAAGAAGTGGGTTTTTAACGATTTTTTGAAGGAGTGAAGACTGGGTGAGCGTCTAACGGAGGAAGGAAGAGAGTTCCACAGGAACGGTACAGCCCTCGAGAAATCTTGAAGGCGAGCATCAGAGGTGGGAGTACGGACAGAAGATAGACATAAGTCTTCAGCAGATCGTAAGGGTCTAGACGGGACATACTTGTGTATAAGGGAGGGAGCAGCATTATGTAGAGATTTGAAGGCAAGAACCAGAATTTAAAATTGAGCTCTATATTTTATAGGAAGCCAATGTAGGGACTGACAGAAGGGTGAGGCATGGGAGGTGCGGGCAGACAAGAAGATGAGCCTCGCCGCCGCATTCATTATGGACTGTAACAGCGCAAGTTGGGAGCACGTAAGACCACTGAGAAGCGGATTACAGTAGTCAAGGCGAGAAAGGACAGTGGAATGGACCAACACCTTAGTCACAACTGGCGTTAAGTAGGGGCGGATGCGCGCAATGTTTTTGAGATGGAAATGACAGGATTTGGCGATAGATTGAACATGAGGCTTGAAGGAGAGGTCGGAGTCAAAGAGAACACCTAGGCAGCGAGCCTGCGTGGTGGAGCTGATGGTAGCACCGTTGTCTTGGAGGGAGGGAGACACAGGAGTAACAACATTTGAGGGAGGAAACACCAGAATTTCAGTTTTGGTCAAGTTTAGTTTAAGGAAGTGGGCAGCCATCCAGTTAGAAACAGCAGAGAGGCAGTTAGAGACACTAGTCACTACACTGAAAATAGCCCATTTAACAGACATGCAACTCCTCAAGCAGCCTCCCCACACATTCAATTCCACAAGCAGAATCTCCCAACAGCCTCCCCAGATACAGGCATACACAGCGCCACAGCTAGTCTACCACACACAATGCCTCAAGCAGCCTTCCCCCCAAATATGCAATCTCCCAACCAGCCTCCAAACGCATACAAATTCATTGTCCTCTGATATTCTACTCATTGAGACACCAGAGAAATGTCACAAGCAAACAGGGCTCTGCACATGAGCTGTGCTGGGGGAGCATCACCCTGACATGACCATTTTATGTGAGTATGCCATTACTGATGACACAACCCTCTCTCCCTCCCTCCCCCCATATTGGGCTGCTTTGCCTTTAAATGCCCAGTCTAAGTTTTTTGTCCCAGTCCAGACCTTGCCGTCAGTTTACTCTTTCAAGGACTTTTAACGTTCTAGCTACCTGTCTTTTACCAATTTTGTTCTCTAAACCAGAGCATGTCTATGAAATAAAATATTTTACATTTTAATGGATTTTGCCATTGGGGGGCTTTTAGCAAACAACATATTTTTGAAATGATTTCTGGAAAAGACAGATGTTTCCTGCATTTTTAAGACTTTGTAGATTGTAGGTATATTGATTTTAAAAAGGCTCTGTTGGGGAGATTGGAGAATGATTGAAACAAGCTAGAAATAAAATAAGATGTGTTCTATAGATCTGGATTTGTTTGTGTTATTAAATATAAATAACAAAAACTGTATTATAAACATCCATGTCTCATGCTCAAATATATTAATATTCCATTTGCAGTATATGAAACATTGAGAGAAAATATCTGTGACTTGTATCACATGCAGATTTCCATATAAACTGTACAACTGTACAATGACTTTTACGGTAAAATGCATTGCAAAAGTTATTTAGGGTTTAATTTGAGTGCTTACAGCTGACAAATACTCGGTACCTTCATCGTTTATTGTTATTGATATTAATAATATATTTCTAAGGTGGAAGAAGTGATAGAAGTGATAAGTGTAGCTGCCTACCACGAGCGGCAGATGGGTCACATAACAAGCATGGGTTTCCTGGATCATCTGTGAAAAATCACAAGCTTTTATAATAATTAGGGAGCATGCATTAAACCACAGATAGAATAAAATAGAATTATTAATGAGTCTGCTAGTAGAATGGAGTAACACACTCTAAGTACACTAGATTTCACGGGTGGTGGGGCGTCGAAGGGGGTTAGATCTCTACAACCATGCCCAATATCCACTACTAATCATGGAACCCTATGGTGGAATTCTGACTCAGAACATACGTATATGCTACACTTCATAAAGACATTGTGTTGTTTTTGTGGGTGTCACAGTATTAGTAAATATTTACAATATTTAGTAAACAAAGATTCATAGTCACGGAGACTCCAATATCTGAATATTAAAGAATAATAGATTGAAACTAACATTTACATCTTAATGGGCTGTAGCAAATGTACCCATAGATTAGTACCTCCGGATCAGCTGTAATATATCCCTTTTATGAGTCATGAATGTCAGTAAAATGTCAGTAAAAAGAATTCAGACTTTTAGCAGTTGGTCTTGTTCAGAATTGAAAGTGTATAGTCTGTATACCACCAGTATTACATTTATTGTATATTATTTAATATATTAAAAATATTTAAAGACATTAACGTGCAAACCTAACTTTACAGTTGTAACTGTACTAATTAGTTAGATGTTCGGGCTCCCTAAACAAAATTAAAGAAAATATATTTACTCAACTTTTTTTCTCTGGCGTTTCAGTCTCTGTGTGGCTACCCCACCACCCCAGCTGAAGCATTACAAAGCTAGTGTGCATATGCTGCAAATCAACCCACTGTGCCAATCAGTATCTCCTCAATGCCTTTCCATGGGGAATATTCAGCAGAACTGAAACCAGCAGCAGTGCAAATACTGTTTCCCAGAAAAGGCAGACTTCACACTTCTCAGCCTGCACTGCAGGTAAAGGTTCTATGCCCTAGAGCCTCTACATTACGTTGTAGTAGTTCTGGTACCTAAAGTGTCCTTTAAAGGAAACAGTCTTTCTAATTTTATATATTTATAATATTTAAATTTGAATTTTTAGAACAAACCCAGTCAAAGTGCTAAAAAAGGTACAAAGTTTAATAAATCGAATTATCCATTCATTGTTACAACTGTTATTATAAAATGAACAAACTAAGGGCTCGTTTTCATGCCTGTTTCCCTTATTTACTGTCAAGCCTGTAATTGCTAAATTGGCAGTTGCTATCGTTAGCAATTACCAAATGTTTTCATTCTACAAAACGTGGCGTTTAACAACAAGTAGTTGTCGAAGCCAAAACCTTAAAGTCTCCCATAGAGATTACTAGAAAACACTAAATGCTAAGTATGTAAGGCACCTTGAACGTTTCAGTGTGAGTGCCTTTAAATAATCATTTATTTATATGGTTCAACGATATTACGCTATTTTATATCATTCTTTCTCCAGATATCAGCCGTCACTCCAATGCTAGGTAATATGATTTTTTTACATAGCCAATTTGTATGCTAGGTGATAAAATGTCCCATCTGTGGCTGGTACCTAAACATTCTACATACCCCAAGTAGGTATAAACATGGAAAAACAAGTTAACAACTGCATACTTTCAAGACATCATACATCAATACATTTAAATTATACCTAAGTACTTTTAAGCACAGAAGCCTATCTGCAAGCATGGTGTATGTAATTATTAACAAATCTATGAAACTAATAAGTCAACTGTATGGAAATACTAACGGCAATTAGCTCTCTGATTATAGAAATACTAATCGCAATTAGCTCTCTGATTATAGAAATACTAATCGCAATTAGCTCACTGATTATAGAAATACTAATGGCAATTAGTGCATTGATTATGGAAATACTAATGGCAGTAAGCTCACTGATTATAGAAATACTAATGGCAATTAGCTCACTGATTATAGAAATACTAATGGCAATTAGCTCACTGATTACGGAAATACTAATGGCAGTTAGCTCACTGATTATAGAAATACTAATGGCAGTTAGCTCACTGATTATAGAAATACTAATCGCAATTAGCTCACTGATTATAGAAATACTAATGGCAATTAGTGCATTGATTATGGAAATACTAATCGCAATTAGCTCACTGATTATAGAAATACTAATGGCAATTAGTGCATTGATTATGGAAATACTAATGGCAATTAGTGCATTGATTATGGAAATACTAATGGCAGTAAGCTCACTGATTATAGAAATACTAATGGCAATTAGCTCACTGATTATAGAAATACTAATGGCAATTAGCTCACTGATTACGGAAATACTAATGGCAGTTAGCTCACTGATTATAGAAATACTAATGGCAATTAGCTCACTGATTATAGAAATACTAATGGCAGTAAGCTCACTGATTATAGAAATACTAATGGTAATTAGCTCACTGATTACGGAAATACTAATGGCAGTAAGCTCACTGATTATAGAAATACTAATGGCAATTAGCTCTCTGATTATAGAAATACTAATCGCAATTAGCTCACTGATTATAGAAATATTAATGGCAATTAGCTCACTGATTATATAAATACTAATGGCAATTAGCTCTCTGATTATAGAAATACTAATGGCAATTAGCTCACTGATTATGGAAATACTAATGACAATTAGCTCACTGATTATGGAAATACTAATGGCAATTAGCTCACTGATTATAGAAATACTAATGGCAATTAGCTCACTGATTATATAAATACTAATGGCAGTAAGCTCACTGATTATAGAAATACTAATGGCAATTAGCTCTCTGATTATAGAAATACTAATGGCAATTAGCTCACTGATTATAGAAATACTAATGGCAGTTAGCTCGTTGATTATAGAAATACTAATGGCAATTAGCTCGCTGATTATAGAAATACTAATGGCAGTTAGCTCGTTGATTATAGAAATACTAATGACAGCTCACTAATTATAGAAATACTAATGGCAATCAGTGCATTGATTATGGAAATACTAATGGCAATTAGCTCACTGATTATGGAAATACTAATGGCAGTAAGCTCACTGATTATGGAAATACTAATGGCAATTAGCTCACTGATTATGGAAATACTAATGCAATTAGCTAATTGATTATAGAAATACTAATGGCAATTAGCTCACTGATTATGGAAATACTAATGGCAGTAAGCTCACTGATTATGGAAATACTAATGGCAAGTAGCTCACTGATTATGGAAATACTAATGGCAATAAGCTCATTGATTATAGAAATACTAATGGCAATTAGTGCATTGATTATGGAAATACTAATGGCAATTAGCTCGCTGATTATGGAAATACTAATGGCAATTAGTGCATTGATTATGGAAATACTTATGGCAATTAGCTCACTGATTATGGAAATACTAATGGCAGTAAGCTCACTGATTATAGAAATACTAATGGCAATTAGCTCACTGATTATGGAAATACTAATGGCAGTTAGCTCACTGATTATAGAAATACTAATGGCAGTTAGCTCACTGATTATAGAAATACTAATGGCAATTAGCTAATTGATTATAGAAATACTAATGCAATTAGCTCGCTGATTATAGAAATACTAATGACAGTTAGCTCACTAATTATAGAAATACTAATGGCAATAAGCTCATTGATTATGGAAATACTAATGGCAATTAGCTCACTAATTATGGAAATACTAATGGCAGTTAGCTCGCTGATTATGGAAATACTAATGGCAATTAGGTCACTGATTACGGAAATACTAATGGCAGTAAGCTCACTGATTATGGAAATACTAATGGCAGTTAGGTCACTGATTATGGATTTACTAATGGCAATTAGCTCACTGATTATGGAAATACTAATGGCAATTAACTCACTGATTATGGAAATACTAATGGCAATTAGCTCCCTGATTACGGAAATACTAATGGCAATTAGCTCAGTGATTATGGAAATACTAATGGCAATTAACTCACTGATTATGGAAATACTAATAGCACTAACAATAGAACCACAACTTAAACCAAACCCCTCCTCGCCGCAGTGGCTGGAAATAGAAAGCTACTGGGCACAACCCCTAACACTACATAACCTATTCTGTAGCTCCTTTGCTCATAGACCAGACACCACACACCTACTACCCACGACACGACACGTCCTGCAACACTAGGATGCCTCCAAACACCTGTTGGTCCATTTCCTCTCAGTGCTCCTGGCCACCCCTATAGCCACTCTAGCTGCCCTAATACCTATGCTGGACAAATGATCATGGATACAAGAGGGGTTGAACGACAAAATGCAACTATATAAGTATGGAGGCCTTTGCCCCTTCACAGACATACAAACAGAATACAACCTCCCATCCAGACTGATCTTCCCCTACTTACAGATCAAATCATACCTATCTCAGAATAAACCTTGCACTCACAATACCAAACCTACAACACAGATGTCAGAATTTGAACTTATCTGCACACATATAAAACCACTCAAGAAATTGATCTCCATCAGCTACCGACTACTCCTGCAGCATTCGAGCTTGCCCACTGACACACACATACACTCTTGGCAAGAGGAATTGGGGAGAATGATAACAAAAGACAAATGGGACAAGGCATACTCTTCACATAAGGGAACAACCTTGTGCGCCACACACTTAAAACTGCAACGCAAATTGTTGTACCGCTGGTACCTTGTACCAGCCAGAATCCACCACATTTGGCCACAATCCACAGACAAATGCTGGAGATGTGGACATCAAAGGGGCACCATGACACATGTATGGTGGACATGTGAAACCCTCCAACCCTTCTGGCACGAAGTACAAAATATCATATCAGATTTAGTTCGCACACAGGTATCACTGACCCTGGAACTGTGCATCCTATTCATCCCTCCCGATGGGACGCCTAAAGCCACATGGTCAGCTATGTACCATGTACTCATATCTGCCGGGTTTATGAAAAAATCTTCGCAACCCAATTTGGTACAAAGAAACACATGAGACTAGCCCACAATATGTGGGATGCCTTTCTAGAACAATCTAAGGGAGAGGACATACTTTCCTTTGATGGAGCAAAACCACATGGATCCAAACATATTAGACAGATGCTAGTTATTGCTAACAACTAAAGTACAACCTCTCCCTCCTCTCTCTCCCCTCCCCCACCCTAATTGAAAATGCTCAGTGAATGTAATTATTGTACTACTCTGTTATGTTACAAGGTACGGACCACGGGTCTAACGTTACGCCTTACAGCAGGTCTTACACAATGTATACAGTTAACTGTGTTACTCATAACAAAATGTGATATATGCACAGTGTTAAAGTATAAAAGGAAATATATTACTGATAAGCTACAAATTCATATGTTATGCTAATGTCATATGCATTGACTGACCAATAAAAATTGAAATACTAATGGCAATTAGCTCACTGATTATGGAAATACTAATGGCAGTTAGCTCAGTGATTATAGAAATACTAATGGCAGTAAGCTCACTGATTACGGAAATACTAATGGCAATTAGCTCACTGATTACAGAAATACTAATGGCAGTTAGCTCACTAAGTATGGAAATACTAATGGCAGTAAGCACACTGATTACGGAAATACTAATGGCAATTAGCTCACTGATTATGGAAATACTAATGGCAGTAAGCTCACTGATTACGGAAATACTAATGGCAATAAGCTCACTGATTACGGAAATACTAATGGCAATAAGCTCACTGATTATGGAAATACTAATGGCAGTAAGCTCAATGATTATGGAAATACTAATGGTAATTAGCTCACTGATTACGGAAATACTAATGGCAATTAGCTCACTGATTATAGAAATACTAATGGCAGTAAGCTCACTGATTATAGAAATACTAATGGCAGTAAGATCACTGATTATAGAAATACTAATGGCAGTAAGCTCACTGATTATGGAAATACTAATGGTAATTAGCTCACTGATTAAGGAAATACTAATGGCAATTAGCTCACTGATTATAGAAATACTAATGGCAGTAAGCTCACTAATTATAGAAATACTAATGGCAGTTAGCTCACTGATTATAGAAATACTAATGGCAGTAAGATCACTGATTATAGAAATTCTAATGGCAGTAAGCTCACTGATTATTGAAATACTAATGGCAGTTAGCTCACTGATTATGGAAATACTAATGGCAGTTAGCTCACTGATTACGGAAATACTAATGGCAATTAGCTCACTGATTATAGAAATACTAATGGCAGTTAGCTCACTGATTATAGAAATACTAATGGCAGTTAGCTCACTGATTATAGGAATACTAATGGCAGTTAGCTCACTGATTATAGAAATACTAATGGCAGTAAGCTCACTGATTATAGAAATACTAATGGCAGTAAGCTCACTGATTATAGAAATACTAATGGCAGTTAGCTCACTGATTATGGAAATACTAATGGCAGTTAGCTCACTGATTATAGAAATACTAATGGCAGTAAGCTCACTGATTATAGAAATACTAATGGCAGTAAGCTCACTGATTATGGAAATACTAATGGCAGTTAGCTCACTGATTATGGAAATACTAATGGCAGTTAGCTCACTGATTATTGAAATACTAATGGCAGTAAGCTCACTGATTATAGAAATACTAATGGCAGTTAGCTCACTGATTATGGAAATACTAATGGCAGTTAGCTCACTGATTATAGAAATACTAATGGCAGTAAGCTCACTGATTATAGAAATACTAATGGCAGTAAGCTCACTGATTATAGAAATACTAATGGCAGTAAGCACACTGATTATAGAAATACTAATGGCAGTTAGCTCACTGATTATGGAAATACTAATGGCAATTAGCTCTCTGATTATAGAAATACTAATGGCAGTTAGCTCACTGATTATGGAAATACTAATGGCAGTTAGCTCACTGATTATGGAAATACTAATGGCAGTTAGCTCACTGATTATGGAAATACTAATGGCAGTTAGCTCACTGATTATAGAAATACTAATGGCAGTTAGCTCACTGATTATAGAAATACTAATGGCAGTTAGCTCACTGATTATGGAAATACTAATGGCAGTTAGCTCACTGATTATTGAAATACTAATGGCAATTAGCTCACTGATTATAGAAATACTAATGGCAGTTAGCTCACTGATTATGGAAATACTAATGGCAGTTAGCTCACTGATTATAGGAAATACTAATGGCAGTTAGCTCACTGATTATAGAAATACTAATGGCAGTAAGCTCACTGATTATAGAAATACTAATGGCAGTAAGCTCACTGATTATAGAAATACTAATGGCAGTTAGCTCACTGATTATGGAAATACTAATGGCAATTAGCTCTCTGATGATAGAAATACTAATGGCAGTTAGCTCACTGATTATAGAAATACTAATGGCAGTTAGCTCTCTGATTATAGAAATACTAATGGCAGTAAGCTCACTGATTATAGAAATACTAATGGCAGTTAGCTCACTGATTATGGAAATACTAATGGCAGTTAGCTCACTGATTATAGAAATACTAATGGCAGTAAGCACACTGATTATAGAAATACTAATGGCAGTTAGCTCTCTGATTATGGAAATACTAATGGCAATTAGCTCTCTGATTATAGAAATACTAATGGCAGTTAGCTCACTGATTATGGAAATACTAATGGCAATTAGCTCTCTGATTATAGAAATACTAATGGCAGTTAGCTCACTGATTATAGAAATACTAATGGCAGTTAGCTCTCTGATTATAGAAATACTAATGGCAGTAAGCTCACTGATTATGGAAATACCAATGGCAATTAGCTCTCTGATTATAGAAATACTAATGGCAGTTAGCTCACTGATTATAGAAATACTAATGGTAATTAGCTCACTGATTATAGAAATACTAATGGCAGTAAGCTCACTGATTATAGAAATACTAATGGTAATTAGCTCACTGATTATAGAAATACTAATGGCAGTTAGCTCACTGATTATGGAAATACTAATGGCAGTAAGCTCACTGATTATGGAAATACTAATGGCAGTTAGCTCACTGATTATGGAAATACTAATGGCAGTTAGCTCACTGATTATGGAAATACTAATGGCAGTTAGCTCACTGATTATGGAAATACTAATGGCAGTTAGCTCACTGATTATAAAAATACGATAAAAAATAGACGTGCTGTGTAAAAGGCGCTTAGAAAATGTGGATTATAGTACAATTCACAATAAAGTGATAGCAGCTTGCACACCAAAAGTAGGAACTCTTCAACCTACTCACAATCAAATGTATAAGGAAAAACACTATCGTGCAAATACATGCAAAAACAGTGCAAAGGTGGAGCGTTTCAAAATAAAAACACTTACTCCTGCAGATTTCAGGAGATACTGGAAATGATGGTAATAAGATCCTTTAAATCACCATATTCAATGAGGAACCTCAAAATGGAGACAAAAAATGGGAGAAACAGGGAAGCAGAGCTAACCCTAGTGCAGAAATCCTTAATATAATAGGTAGCCAGGTGAAAAAAAATAACGATTTACTTCTCACCTTATCAGGAGCCTTTAACTGGGCTCCAAGTGTATAAGCACAGTGTCAATTATAGAGTGACACTTCCCTTCTTGATAGCCGCATAAATATATCACTAGACGACTTGGTAAAAGAAATAAACTGCCTTTTTGGGTGGGATCAATATGATATGCAAATAAGCCAGGTTTGCTTTGTAATGGCACAAGATGAGCTAAAACTTGGTTTAGAACTGAGCGGGGACCCACCGATGGGCAAGTTATTTGAGCTGCTGTCCGTTCTCAGTACTCCCTTGCACCCGTTTTTTTTACTCTCACTAATGACAATTTGCTTAGATGATCACTAGTGAAGTTCAGACATACTGAGTGAATCTTTTGCACTTTCCCCCTGGAGTTGATTTTGTAATGAATTGGAAAGCCAGTCTTTTCTCTTGACGTATTTCCAATCTGCAGAATTATGAACACTAGACTTGGAGTTTTGTTTCATTGTAAACTGCAATTCTGACAATTTTTATCGGTAGTGTCATCGTACATATTTCCTAACTCCAAGTCGAAATGCAGCCGCCTCGTGTACCAAACCAATCGCCTAATGACTGAGCATGTTTGATTTGATTTGTGATTCTACATTCCGCCCACAGCGCCAAAACAGAGATGATTGATGGGGAAAAAAAGATGATTGATAGCTAAGGGACATTTACTAAATGTTAATTTTATTCACAGATTAAGTAAGAAATTAGCAATAACGGGAAAAAGGAGGATAAGTAAAACAATCTATATTTACATAGTAAATCTTTAATAAATATGAAATCTAAAAATATAGAAATGTAGATTTTATTTTTTTTACTGCTCGCAATGAGTTACCTTTTCTCACTTGATCTGTGAATCGGGGCAATCTATCATCTATCATTGTACTATAAAATATATAATATAACTATTATAAATAGGAGGTATATTTTTTGCTGTACACTGATTGGCCCATTTCCACACCCTTTTCGTTCTTCTTATTTGTATTCCTGAAACTTTTTTCATTTTTTTTTAAAATTTGGATGAACCCAAAGCACCATGTGGCCAAAATTCAGCCATGCTCAAGTCTAGTATACACTACATTTACTGTGTAGCGTGCGCAGGTATTTAACACATGCAAACCTGGATAAGTAGTCATAAACTATGCCTTTGTGTTACGTTTATTAATATGTCATAACAAAATTCCTATTGCTTTTGAGAGTATAGATATGGATTCAGAAAGGGTTTATTGGTTGGCTTTGCAAGGTAGAACTGAGAACTATTGTAGTGACATCATTCAGCACAAAAGAAAATCTATTAAAACATTTCACATACTTATGCTAATTACTGCTCTTATAGAACCATACACAATATAACCGTTTCAGGACTATATTGATTCCCAAATAAAAAGAAAAATCTGAAAGAGCTGCTCACCTTTTAATTCCCTCTAAATATGCAAAACATTGATCACTAGAGATCAATAATAAGCAACAAAAGGTAATTTCAGTCTATGTGATTAGTGGAACAGTGGAATTAGCAGTAATGTATTTCTTAATACATTCTATTACAATTAATTATTCTAATTAATATAACAAAGAGGCAAGCTTTGCTGTATTTTCAGTAAACATTTTTAAATCGATTACAGATACTGACATGTTTGTCCACAAAGGAAATCTTTGTTTTGTCTTTCGAATGGAATACAGAAAAAATGTAAAATGTAAACAATGAATGCAGAGGAAGTAGAAATGAGTGACCTCTGATAAGTGGAACATGTTTTTACACAGCTGGAGAAATAATCAGCTTTCTATGCAGTGTAAACATCAATGAGGTGCTTCCTTTTATTCTGTAACTGCATGATAACTTAATGAAATGTTAAAGGAACACTATAGGGTTAGGAATACAAAACTGTCTTCCTAACTCTACAGGAAGCTTTAGCACCCCTCCCTCATTCACCGACACTCCCTGGCAAAATAAATGGTTAACAATCTTCTTTTTACTTACCTAGGTCTAGTGCTGATGTCACTCCGTGTTAGGTTGCGCTCTTCCTCCACCGATGACAGAAACCTATTGCACATGCGTGGCAAGCACCATGCACACTTTAGGACTTCTTAATAGGGAAGCATTGATTTAATGCTTTCCTATAGGGTTTTGCATGCCCTCGTGCAAAGCATGAGGAAGGCAGCATCATTTCACAGAGTCAAACTGTGAAACTGCAGAAAGTGCTGTCAAATGAATGTCTGGTAGATAGCCACTAGAGGCACGTAGCACAGCAATGTAAACATAGCAGCTGCTCTATAAATGCAATGTTTGAAGACAAGGACACTGCATCCAGACCACGTCCATGAGGCCTATAATGTTCCTTTAACTGATATTCCTTCCTGTAAGTGTATGGTATTATAGAGTGAGCAATTTGACAGGGAAGTGGGTAGCTCAGTTCTGCACATTACACATATTGTCCATTAAAGGAACATTATTGTGTCAGGAAGACAGACATTTGATCCTTATTCTATAGTATCCTACAACCTATAGATTACTGCCTCCCTCCACCCAATTTTTACTAATTTCATTGCCACGCCGGTCTCCTTCCTGCCATTCCTCTCCTAGATTGAGATGACTAAGATTAATGATCTCACTAAATCCAGTGCTTCGTCATAGGGAAACATTGGAAGGCTAAATGCATTGCAAATTGTCAAGCTGCACCAATCAAATCCTCTCTTTTCTCTGACTGAGGAAAAACTGAGTATTTAGCAGCATCCCTTGAAATAAAAAATACTTTAATAAATCTTAGTAAAATGATAAGCCACTCGATAATAAATAATCTAAGCTGAATGTCAGTGGCGTGGACTTTAGCTTGTCTCATATGATGTATTAGTGTACTTTGTGAAACTAAGTCTGATACTTTGTAAATAAAGAGTGAATGCATACACCCCGGTAAATGTGTAGTGATTTATTTCTTGCCTTAGGCTTCTATCTGGGAACAACAAGGTAGGTTCAGGCATGGAACCATGACAAAGGTCACTTCCTGGCTGAGTCTGATTGGCTGACTTCATAAATGCTCTGACGTACAGATACAGAAAACTGATCAGACAGACACAAACTGGGACTGTACTGAGAAATTGCTGACAGCCTTGGGGAAATTATAAGGCGATGACGATGATGATGATGGGCATGATTATAAGCAGAATAAGAAGAAACAACAACAACACGTATATATGTAACCAAGGAGTCTATAGTCAACTTTTGTCAGTATCTATCTATCTATCTATCTATCTATCTGTCTGTCTGTCTGTATTTCTGTTTGTCTGTCTCCCTGTCTCCCTGTCTGTCTGTCTATCTTTCTCTATGTCTGTTTGTCTGTCTAAAAATACTGTTTATCTGTGTCTGCCTCTTTGACTATCCATAGGTCTCTCAGTCCATCGTCTATCTTTCAGAACACTTTAATAAAGATCTTTTGATTAACTAATTAGTTACCTGTGAAATACATCTCTAAACTAGCACACAGTATTATCTTCCATATTCAGTAGAAAAATGAGCAGTATAATTAATTCTCCAATTCCAAGGCTATTTAATAATGAATCTGCGTGGGTTCTGAATGAAAGAAAATGCATAATTGCTGCACTACAGAACATTTATGTCAGCAATATATGTTTATATCGTGTTCCCCATCCATCAGCTTTCAAAATTCATGGGCAAAGTTCTAAAGGCTGAGCCAAATTCGTGGAAACCGATAGAAAGTTATAATTGATTCAGTTTCCTAACTTTGCCCAAAATTTCCTCTTAACCTTAACTGTACATTTCACTTTTCTATATATGGATATATACATATTGTTCTAAATTAGGCAAATACATATATTTTCACATCCATCCCATTTTGTTTGAGTTGGGCTGATTTACAATTCAGAATTTTGTATTTTAATATTTTTGTTGAAAATGACAAATATAATAATGTTTTCATGAGTCTATTAACATCACACATCTATTATAGTCTTTAAACTAAACATGGTTTAGAATTCTAGTGAATGTTAAACATTAATTAAACGGAATTCACTGCAGTGGAATGTGATTAATGGGCAGGTCATTTTGCAGGTGTTTCATGATCGAATATTGAAATCACTTAATCAGTTTCTAAAAGCAAGCACATTGTTCTAACAGAAACCAGTAGTTTGGGAAGCAGTATGCAACCATTCTTGAAATTCAGATCTGTTGCTGTCTTTTGCACTCTAGGTAAGTATTTAAATGTCATAGTGTATGTGAAGGACTCGGCCTAATTTGCCCAACATATCATTTAAATAACAAAATATAATTTATTTCATAATTTAATATATTACAAAACACAATGTACATCCCATCAATAATTTCATGACTATGTAAATATTAGCTCTGGGTATTTTTGACTTGAGCCAATTTAATACTAATCTATAATCCTGTGATCTAAACCAATGGTGCTGATTGGTTGTGAGTATTTTTTTTTTAATAGATGTAGATAAAGTTTATTTATTTATTCGTTTTTAAAGTTTGTCTTTTTTTTAAATAAAAAAAAGTACAAAATAAATGTCAGCTCTATTTCTACACATGCTAGAGAGTAAATTAACCATCCAGGTTCTTCTATAAACTATACATACAAATATTGAGGCTCTGTAAGAAATCACAGATCTCTCACCCTCCATAATGTAATCTAGAAATTGGACATGGACTCTCAGCAACTCCTTGTCTTCCGGTAGCTTTCCACGGAAGTATTATTGAGCAAACCCATTTAACCCATTGATGTCACACACAAACGCGTTTAGTCATTTATTATCCTAGTCCAAAATGTACAATAGAAGTTCTGGCTTTTACTCTATTTAAAAATACATTTTAAAAATCTCATGCAAATAAATGCGAGCTGATGTTGACTTCCATCCACTTGTGTGAGTGATTTGCTTTTATTTATTTATTTTAATTAATAAGAAACCGTGAGCCAATATATTATGAATATATTATATATTCGAACAAAGTAGACATTGTGCATAGTTTATTGGAGGCATACAGCATACAACTCCTGCTGTACATCTCACAACTTCCCCTTTCAAGGGAGAGACAAGGGGGTGGAGTTACAAAGCAAGGAAGATTTGCCTTAAACCCAGGTAACTGTCATGGTGTTTCAGATTAATTTATGCACCTGTAGAACGAGGGTAATGCATTTCATTTTCTTTGCTTAACAAGCTAGAAGTGAGGTCGATAATTTGTATACGGGAACAGCACCTTTAAAATTACAATAATAAATTGTCACAGTTTGCTGCCACGTACCTGTATCGTTTGGCTCTGGTAAACCTTTATAACATGAAAATTGAAACTGTAAATCCCTTTTCGAGGTGCTACAAACACAGATTCCAGGGTGAAAAAATTGCCAACATTTACTAAGATCTGGAAGAAAAAGAAGCAAACGGTTTTAAACTGCAAAATATGTTTCATTGACTTTTGGGGTACTGTACACTAAAGTGTGATAATGTTATTTGCCTGTATGTTTTTTTTACAGAAACCTCAATCCTTATATTTTGAATAAATATGTCACAAGTGACAGACATATTAATAAAGCACTGGATAAAATAACTGCATAAGTTACCGGTAAGAGTTTTTTCTTCAAATTATCACTCCTTACTACATCACAACAGTTACTACTTTTTTAGCAAATACGAGAAAGGTCCAAAATACTTTGCGACAGATTGTTCATCATTTTGTTTTACGGAGGTTTATCACAAGCATATAATCATAATTCATATAAAAAACATTTCCATTTTATCATGTTAGCTGTCCACAAAAACCTCATTTTTTAAAATAAATCATTTATTTTATTTGTGGGATTGCCTTGGCATGGTCTTTAAACAATAAAGAATCTCCAAAATTGCCACCAGTTTCATCAACAATCTTTAAAAATATATATAATTTATTACAATTTTTTTATGCAGTCCATTGACCACATATTATTGTAATAGCACTAACTGCAGGGATTGTATTACCTAATTGCTAATGTGTAGATAATTGAAGACTATGCAACATTTAAAATTGGTAGTAGACCTGAGTTTGTGAATTTGATCAATTTTGGCATTAACTTTACAATTTACTGTTTAGTGAGTAATACGCAGAACAATACTAATGTTACCTAAAGTTTAAAAAGAGCGAGGAGAAATCCGTATAATTGTGAGATTTAATATACATCAAAATCTATTTTCTTACCAAAAACAAAAAGTATATTTATTGAGAAACTGCTTTGTATGGACTGAAATAATGACACAATTAATCGGAATGTTACATAAAAATAAGTGTTGTTTTTTTTACAATGATGAAATAAAATCATCCTTCCTCTTGGTACTTCAACTGTAAATAAAATAATGATCTGATACTTTTCCTAACTCTATAGCCAGCACTGTTAACGTCGTTATACCTAGGGATCAGCTATAAAATCCACGCATTATGAAGATAATGGAGTGCAAATTAATTTTTCTTGGCTGTCGTTAGATTAATTATATTACAAAGACAGACATTTCATTTGCTTGTAAACCCAGAGCTGGTACCATGCAAAGCAAATTCTCCAATATGCTGACTATGTGAATAAACATGTTTGCATCTTTCTTTAGAAATCGCGGCAGCACAGCGTGCATCTGCTTAGTGTTGGGTGATCTCCACAAGGCAGGTAGCATGCTGAGACCAGTGTTATAACAGAATCCAGCTCTTGTTGCACTTTTCAGGAAATGATCTAACGCTATCAGTGGGGAATTCATTAATTGCTCAGGGTTTAGTCATTTTCAGAGTTATGCTCTTTTCATACACAGAACCACGCACATTCTCGCTAGGTAGATTTTATTCACTAAACCGTGAATTGTGGTAAACTGAAAAGCAAATTGCAAAATTAAAGTTAAAATAGCCCAAGTCGTGACTGTTAGGAATTATTTTTATAATGTAGCTATTCAGGCTAACAATTTGAAATTTAGTTTTCAAGGTCACAATAATTGACAGTTTAGTGAATAAACCTTGTGATTAAAATAATGGAAAAGATATGTGCGTGTGTCTGTGTGTGTCTCTGTGTGTCTGTGTGCGTCTGTGTGTGTCCCTGTGTGTGTGTGTGTTTGTGTGTGTGTATCTTCTGGTTTGATTTGATTAAATGTGCTTAAATACCTGCAATAGTGATTTAATTCCCCCAGCTCCAGTTCCAGTGAAGAACACTGTGCTGTACCTCTGCTGTAGTATTCTGTCCCTTTAAAGGGGTACATATTTTAATATGACAATGTTAAATTTCACACCTCCATTACATGAGCGCCTGACTCTTTCAATGGTCTGTTTAACCCAAACTGGAGTCGACATCAATACATAACTTTAAATATTTCTTTTGAAGACCTATATCCAGGAATTTAGAATATTTTACATTAATGAACTTGCAATGAAATAACCATAACAAACAAAAACAAAACACAGAACCATTCATTATTATATGAGCTCACTGCACACAATTAATCCCAGCAGATAGGTTTAAAAATGATAAAATAGAGTTTAGGTGTTACTGGGGGTCTCAGAGGGGGCATAGTGGACTTAGTCTTTGTCAGGCACCTATAATTACTGTAACATATTAACCCCTTAACCACCAATGGCATGCCTGGTGTCTCATAATAGAATAATATTTGCTAAACCGCTAGTACTTAAGAGGTTAAAGAGCACCTATATTGCTTTAAGAGTTCCAATATAGTTAACTCTGTAATCTTTCAACAGAGCCCTGGTAGCAATGATTTTACCTAACCTGGTCCTTAATGGGTTAAAGGACACCTATAATGCTCTAACTAATCCCTAATAATTTGCAAAGTTCCAGTTATATTAACCTCTTAATGACCAGGCTACTATTCATGTTAGGATAGGAAAGATTTCTCTGAACCCCTGAGATTTAAGGGGTTAAAAATCACATAAACTGTCCTAACCTCTTCCCTAGTGGTTAGAGTCGTTGGGTAACACCTGTGGCTTCTCAACACAGTGATTATTTCATATATGTCTCAGATATTCAGAGAGCAGTACGAGAATGCATTCCCGCAGAATTCAAGGACCCCAGCTACATTCTTACCTGGTCAAAGTAGATTATCCTAGTTTTGTTGCTCATTTCTGAGGGTTCATGGTTGGTGCTTCTCACTGCAGAAAATGCCACCTTGGAGTTAGCCGCCCGCACTGAGATCCCAAGAGGTGAAGAGGAGGAAGATTTGGAGTCAGTGGCAGGGTTGGAATCACAAACTACAAGACATTTGCCTTCCAGGACAATGGGTTCAGTGTCATTCTGAGCTGAGACAGGTAAAGCATGCACTGCTATGGCAACAGTCAGTATCAGCACCCTGGACAGCTCCCTGCAGGACCCCATGCTTTCCAGAAGGACCAGGATTCTGTGATGTTCCTCTCTCTGAGCCCAGCTTGCAGATGCACAATTTAAAAAATTGCACAGACTCACAGTCCCCCAATTGCCCCCCTTCTCTCCAAAAATAAAAAAAATATCCTTTTACTTTTTGTCCTGTCCACTTCCAAAAACAAAATAATATTCTGCTCTCACTTATCCTCTCTTTACCCCCCACTCAGCATCCAGGAGACCTAAAGTGAATTATTGATGAGGGAGCCCAGAAAGAAAGTGTGCTCTGGATGTTGCCATGGTCCGCTCTCTCTGCTGCTGTCTGGATGCAGTGCTGGATTGATTACAGAGGTAGATCCTCACTGCTGCCAGATGCAGGCATCCTGTGTCTGACTTCATTGCCAGAGAGGCTGCAAACCCAGCTACTTGCTGCCATTCCACAAAGCTCTGACATAAGAGAGCAGCCAGATGAACTAGCCCAAACTATATAGTGATCAGCTGGGGGTGGGGGCAACACAGACAACCTGCCATTTAGCCATTCAAGAGAGATGCATCATAATAAACCAGGTGGTGTCTCTACTTCTATCACAATTCTGCTACTTTTCAGGGGATACTACAAATTCAACAGTGTGTGGCCAGATAGACAGACAGACTGACAGACAGACAGACTGGTAGACTGATACAGAGACAGACAGACTGATAGACAGACAGACTGATAGGCAGACAGACAGACAGACTGACAGACATACAGACTGGTAGACTGATACAGAGACTGATAGTTAGATAGACTGATAGACAGACAGACAGACAGACAGACTGGTAGACTGATACAAAGACAGACAGACTGATAGATAGACTGATAGACAGACTGATAGACTGACTGATAGACAGATAGACTGATAGATAGACAGACTGGTAGACTGATAGATAGAGAGACAGACAGACTGATAGACTGATAGACAGACAGACTGATAGACAGACAGACTGACAGAATGATAGATAGACAGAGAGACTAGACAGACAGATAGATAGATAGACAGGCAGACATATAGACAGAAAAATAGATAGATAGATAGATAGATAGATAGATAGATAGATAGATAGATAGACGGATGTATGGACAGACGGACAGGCCGGCCGGCCGGGGAGTGGACGGAAGGAAGGACAGACAGACAGGCAGACTAAGAGACAAATAGATAGACAGACAGATAGATAGATAGATAGATAGATACATAGATAGATAGATAGATACTGTATAGATAGATGGATAGATACACAGATAGATAGATAGATAGATAGATAGATAGATAGATAGATAGATAGATAGATGATAGATAGATAGATAGATACATAGATAGATAGAGAGAGAGGTAGATAGATACATAGATAGATAGATAGATACTGTATAGATAGATAGATTAACTGTATGGCACATAAACTGGAATTTTACCTTTATATAGTACAATTTATATTTTTTGTGTTTATTCATGGATTTATGTCAGCTTCCATTAAAGATACATTGTTGAGGGAAATTGAGATAGAATTTCTGCTAAGACATTAAGACTGATTATCTTAATGAAATCTAAAATGACCCAGTGAAGACTGATGAAATTTAAAACAATTATCAGTCCTCTCCCTGAAACACTATTGACAAACTATCTATGAAGATTAATGCCTCCTCCTTTTAGACCCTAGCGCTGCCTAGTGGAGGTTTTAGGAACTGCGCTCATTGAATCTCTAGTGTTCCATCATGTGCAATGCTTTGCAGTTCTGTCAGAGAGAATGATTCGTTACCAGACATTTTTAAAGAGCTTTATGTGTGTGTTTTACTTGGATGTCTTATGGCTGATGGGAAGGGTATGTCATGAAACTGGTCATTTTTAGGAATCCACAAGGAGCTGCACCTTTCAGATCAAAGTACCTGATCTGGAAATATCACTGAAAGGGGGAAGTTTTGCATTTCTGCCTTTTTTATCTGGAATTTGCAATTCCCAAACTAATGAATAATCCTGATATTGTATCATATATTCTACCTCCAAATATGACCGAGTTCCTTTCACTCCTTGGAAAAATCACTGCTGTTTGACAAATAAAAACAGATGGGAATTTCTCTACTGAACAGTGCATTGGGGTCAGCTGAAAATAAGATAGCAACATAACTGCATTCAATAAAAATATCTTATTTTAATTCTTTCAATATTTAGAGGTCATTCACTACGTTAAAAATTAAAAATAGTCCAACAAGTTCCAAAATCATAATTTTGCACAAATAGATAAGTAAACTAATAATTTAGTTCATCGTAAAATTAATGCAGTGTATATTAAATAAAAAACAATTTACACAAACTTCCTCTAGAACAGAAAGTCATGGGAGTTGTAGTTCGGCAACATGGTGGGGGGCTAGGGGGTAGTTTGAGGGGATTGCTCTGGAGAAATGGGCAAAAACCTAAAAGAGACAGAGAAAACATTTGCTTCATTTCACCAAACATTCCTACAATAATAAAGAAATGAATTTGCAGGAAAAGGGAAATATTAGCCTTATTGGGCTACAAATAGCCGTGGGGTCACAATGCTATGACAATAGCTTAAAAAGAAGATGCATTTTAATCTGAAAGAAGCATGATGACGTGAGACGCTGAGTGGGCAGAGCGTCAAAGGAACCCGGGTGTAGTGTGACTCGGAAGCAGTGTCTCGGCTTGTAGCGGATTCAGCTCAATGGAGTAGCACCCAGTGCCCACGCCAGAAAATATTGAATTTAGGAGTCTTCACTATTGGCCATGGTGTGATTAAGATATGGGAGCCCGGACAGAATTACGGGGGTTTGGTCCTGGATATAAAACTAAAACCAAAGAATAAGGTTTTATGGTGAATTCCCCTGGCCATTAGTTATCTGTGTCTCTATGTGCTTACTAATCAGGGAGTGAAGCTTCAGTTGCACACCTTAGATGTTAGCCACCACAAGGGCTTATGGTTTCTGGTATCCAGGACAATAGCTGAGGAGGCCTAAAGCTGACAGGGCTAAATTGCAGAATCAAACACAGTGGTAAATGCTCCACTGAGTAACAGCAATTCAGGCCAAAAACACTTCCAAAAAGGATAAAAAGAGAGACTCTGATCATACTAAGGAGAAATAAAAAATAATGGCTTTAATTTTTTCTCCTCAAGTTCTCAAAAAAATGAAACCCAGACTAATAACTCAACTTCAACGCAGTTTAGAGTGTGTGACCAGGAGTGGTCCTTATTTAACTCAGCAATACCTAAAGCAATGCTTGGAGACAGTTAAATCACTTTAAAAAAATACACAATTATCATTAAAGAGGAAATTAAAGGAAATCTCCAATCTATGGGGGTAAGAGTAAAGGCAATTGAGGAGAAAACAGATTATTTAGAGTTTGAATTAAAAACCTCCAATAAGCAGCTACAGGACTTGAGGGGAAAGGTGGATGCATTAGAGTAAAACATTACGGACACGGAATATAGGGCATGCAGGAAAAATATCCGCGTAAGAAGAGTCTCTGAAAAGATCTCACAAACAAAGTTGAGAAGTTTTCTCCTTGTCTGTTTGAAGCTATGGGAATCCAGGAAGCCCAAGAAGAGGCAACAATTGAGTGGGCTCAGAGAACTTTCAAACAGAGTAATATAGCAAAGGATCTCACCCGAGATATCATCGTTAGGTTCTCGTCATATTATGTAAAACAAAAAATTGAAAGGCTTTGTAGCAAGTTAGGAGAGATTCCAAGAATTAAAGTTTTTTCAGGATCTCTTGACTATAACAAGAAATAAGAGAAGAAAATAAAAAGATCACTTAGTTTTTTTACTGAGGTTTTGAGCGGAAAACAGATCAGATATAACTGGGGGTTCCCTCTAAGAATTTATGTTATATACAGAGAGAGAATTCTATAGAGGAGGCCAAAGAATGACTGTCAAAATATTTAAACATTAAACATTTGCCAAACCAAACACTGACGCAATGTACACTGAACAAAATTATAAATGCAACATTCTTGTTTTTGTCCTCATTTTTCATGAGCTGAACTCAAAGATCTAAGACTTTTTTTATGTACACAAAAGGCCTATTTCTCTCAAATATTGTCCACAAATCTGTCTAAATCTTCTCCTTTGCCGAGATAATCCATCCACCTCACAGTTGTGGCATATCAAGTTGCTGATTAGACTGTATGATTATTGCACAGGTGTGCCTTAGGCTGGCCACAATAAATGGCCACTCTAAAATAGACATGATCATGGAGGACCAGAATTCTACACTGCAGTGTAAATATATCCAAATAGTTCCAGTGTCATGGTCAGACCACGAATTGGTCATCCTGGATATTCGAGATGGTTTTAGGAAAAACCCACAAACCTGGAAACTAAATGATTCTTTGTTATTAAAGAAAGAAAATTGAGATAGTTTGTTAAAAACAGGAGAACATATTTTTTAATGAGAATTTACCAGGATACGTAAGTCTCCTGATGACGTGGTGCACTTTCAAAGGCGTAATGAGGGGTCATTTAATTAAACTAGAGGCTCAGAATGGCAAAAAGAAGCGGGAGTACTTAGCTTCTTTGTATGTTAAATTGGCTGATTTGATTATGCTAAATAAGTCAGAGACCAATGAAGAGAAAAAAATAAAAGAAATTAACCAAATTAGGAAGGCTATATGTGACCAGTTGAATATTAGAGCAAATTAAATCATGATAAAATCAAGACAAAGGTGGTATTACCTCGGTAATAGAGCCAATAAGCTTTTATCAAACTAACGGTTTTATGAAGCACAGTTCATGTCAAACTAACTAACGTAGATTGCGTTCTACGAAAAAGTAAGTAGAAGTATAGATCAGGGTGTTGCCGTGGATGTGATCTTTTTGGATTTTGCCAAGGCATTTGATACAGTTCCACACAATAGATTAGTGTTCAAACTCAAGGAAATCGGTCTAGATGAAAATGCTTGTTCTTGGGTAGAACATTGGCTTAAAAACAGAGTACAAAGAGTTGTCATTAATGGTAAACTTTCAAGCTGGACAGAAGTGGCAAGTGGTGTCCCTCAGGGGTCTGTTCTGGGACCCCTTCTATTTAACATGTTTATAAATGATCTTGAAGACTGCATTGAAAGTCATGTTTCAGTGTTTGCAGATGACACAAAACTTTGTAAAACAATACAATGTGAGCAAGATATTACTTTGCCACAGAGGGATTTAGATAGACTGGGGGACTGGGCACTCAAATGGCAGATGAAATTTAATGTTGAAAAATGCAAAGTTATGCACTTCGGCGTAAAGAATACACATGCAACGTATACCCTTAATGGAAGCGAAGTAGGGATAACAACACACGAAAAGGACTTGGGAATTGTTATAGACAACAAACTATGCAACAATGTGCAATGTCAATCAGCAGTGGCCAAGGCCAGTAAGGTATTGTCATGCATGAAAAAGGGCATTCATTCTCGGAACAAGAATATAATTTTGCCTCTTTATA